GCTCTTGCCGCGGCTGCAACATCCCGTCCCTTTCTGCCACCCCTGGCTCTTCTGTCTTAGTCCCGTTGCATCTTATCCTCCAAATGCGAGCACACCTTGCCCTGTGCCTGCGGCTTGCTCAGGTGGATTGTGTGCTGTGTCAACGCGATTAAACGATTCCATGGATGGAGAGTTACGTTTCATTCAGGTTTCTTCCTCCAGGCTTAGGTCTAGGTAGCTTTGCTGAGTGATTCAAGTGCTTGCAGCAAATGCGTAATCTTTGTCATAATGCAAGTGGTTCTGGTGCTATAGCAGGAAGGAGGAATAACATGGTTAACAGAAGCGTATGGAAAGTTTTAGTTTCTTACGATGAAAGTGTTAGAAATGTAGCGTTCTGGCATCTCTTCTGATAACAGCATCATGCTTGTATCGTCTCGTACAGTAGGCTTTAAAAGCTGTCTCTAGAATCAGGAATGTAACTTGGTGAGAGCAACTGTTAAAAGTAGGATATTTATTAGCGTCCGAGGTTATGTTTGTGCTGCTGTATGTAAGTGCAGTCGCTTCATCCTAACAGTCTTTTGTTAAGAACTGCCAAATAAGCATAACCCGATATGTTACAAAGACCTTATAATGCCTTATTGGTACTTCTTTTATTCATATTTGTTGTTTACTCTGTAGTTGACTGAGACTTTCTCGCTCACAAAGGAAGAAAACATCCCGTTTGTCCAAAGAAAAATACATAATTATACCATCCACAATCTTCTTCTGGAAAAACATGCTCACTCCCTTTATAAAGCTCCCGCCATTCAGGTTGGATTTATTTATTACAGAAGCTTTAGTTGAAAACCTAAACAGGTTTTGCATGCAACAAATAGCTGATTCTTCAGTCTGTAGTTAATATAAATGGCCTCTTGCTAGAACCACAGCTCTGTGTGTAAAAACTTGTAAGAAACTTTATAGATGGCAGGAGTTGTCTGACTCTGCTTGTGATACTTTGTATTACATTATGTACATCACTACAGGTGCTATTCAGACTACAGTGAACTGTTATGTAAATGCTTTTCTTCATGTGGCTGCTGTGGCAGCTCATAGAACACTTTTTTGCCCCAAAACGTATATTGACAAGCTAATTCTTTTCTTGCCAGAAGTAGTTTAGCATTATTCTAGTCAGATGTGGTGGGGTTCTTGCAAAATTCACCTTGCAATCGCCTTTACATTAGCATCAGTATCATGATCCTAAGTTCTGTGTCATGCCCAGTTACAAGCCCTTTGCAGGGTATCCAGGTTGTTTTTCTTCACTTGCAGAAGAGCATTTTGGGTTTTTTATTGGTATTCACTGTGAATACATGTAGACATAGGTGGAGTGGCACCTGTGAGGACTCACTACTTCTGCAGTGTCTGAGATTTCTTCCTTTTCTTGCTGCCAAAGCCATGTCCTGTCCTGTGGCTGTTAACTGGCCAACGTCGTTCTGTTACAACCAGGCCCAACAGATCAGCCTGGTGTTGTCCCAGTTGGGGTCTTGCATTCCAGTGGGACATGTGAGCATCTGAAGAAATTTTACTGTAATCTGCCGAGGCAAAGACCATGTCTTGAAAGGGTTAACTGGATGTTTCTCTGCACTGTGATAACTATGTATCACTTCTGGAGTTCATCCTAAAACTTCACTCTTTCTGTTTTGTAGAGACAAGAGATAATTGATTCCATTATGTGTGCGTCGGCCAAATATAACACCCGGGGTCCAGCCCTCATCCCAAGGATGAAAACCAAACATCGCATCTACTACATCACTCTCTTTTCAATAGTTCTGCTTGGCCTAATTGCCACAGGAGTGTTCCAGTTCTGGCCACACTCCATTGAATCATCCAGTGACTGGACTGTTGAAAAACGCAGTGTCCATGATGTGCCTGTGGTCAAGCTTCCTGCTGAGGGGAGACCTCAGCTGCAGGATGCACACCTGCTTCGATGTCTACCGTTGTGGCTTCAATCCCAAACACAAGATCAAAGTATACATCTACTCACTGAAAAAGTATGTGGATGAATACGGGACGTCGGTGAGCAACACCATTTCCAGGGAATACAATGAGCTGCTGACTGCCATCTCCGACAGTGAATTCTACACTGACGATGTCAACCGGGCCTGCCTTTTTGTGCCGTCCATAGATGTCCTCAACCAGAACGCGCTCCGTATCAAGGAGACAGCTCAGGCTTTGGCACAGTTATCCAGGTACTTACTGAAACTTCAGTGTGTGAATTTAAAGAACACAAAGTAGAAAAATCTAAGGGTGATGCAGGAGGGGAGGATGCAGTGAGTCAATGCCGGCCGGACCTAGGCTTTGACCCAACTTACCATCTGTATGTAGAGAGCACCTTTCTAATTGTCTGTTTCTTCTTTTGCCTTAGGTGGGATCGAGGGACAAATCACTTGCTCTTCAATATGCTGCCTGGAGGGGCACCAGATTATAACACTGCCCTAGATGTTCCTAGAGATAGGTATGCGTCTCGCTGCGTTTGAGCGCGCAGATCTGGGTTGAAATGCCATTGAAGAAGCAGCAAGCTCAGAAGTGTGGCTGGTAACAAAAGATGTGCTCCTTAACCTTTACAAAGCTGGAATGTGACTTCCTCTCTTCTCAAAAGTGAGGAGTAGAGAAGGCTCTGTCTTGTACAGGACAAGTGTTTGCTCCTGAAATCTGACAGTTTAGCCCCACATTTAATTTTACACAGGATGTGGCTGCAACATTTGCTCTTAACTCTTGGGTTTGCTGTAAGGATGGAGAATCTCGAGGTTAGACCTGTGTCTTGTGTGTTACTGAACCTGAACGATTTACAGAATGTCTCATTTGACGCAAATTAGAAGTTCAAAGATGATTGTAGATGCAGCTTTCTGATAGAAGTCACATGCTTCAAAGGCATTTTAAAGCAGCTGCTCTACTTGACAAAACTATGATGAATTTCAATAGCTTTTGTTATCTTAACAGTTATACTGTATTAGTAATTGGACAAATGCTCTGTTACTCTCTGGCAAGTGTGTTTTCTAAATATTTGTTAGAAACTTCAAAGGTGTGAATCCTGATCTCTATTTTCACTGGCAGAATAGTTTACTTTTGGAAGAGGAGAGGAGGTTGTAAGGCAAAGAAAATTGGAGTAAGATAAGCTTACTTAGCTTAGATACTGCTACCAAATATCTTTCTACTAGATTAGCCTCTATGTGCTTAGTTCTGCTGCGTTAGGTCCTGTGTGACCAGTCCCTGTCTTGAAGGTCAAGGTTAACTTTCTTCTGCCAATTGTCAACAAAATCTTGCCTAAGATACAGGGTCTTTGCTGAGATGATTATATATGAGTATATCTTGATTGCTGTGCACCAAAGACGATTTAAAACATCCTTCAGTGCCAGAACAGGACACAGGGTTTTTTTGGACATGTTCAAAGAGTAAGTTAACTCATTGTAATTACATCACTGACTGTGATGTTTAGCTTTTCATGCCTCTCTAGGAAATGCATTATCTGCGTGTGGGTTAGCCTGAAGAGGGCAGTCAAGCATCGTTCTTATGTAACCAAACCTGTTAAATTTGTTAGTAAATACTTGTATTTGCTATCTTCAGACTTATACTTGTTCAGGGGAATTTTCATTTGGTAATGCTCTGTTTAATGGAACGGATTGCTCTGTGACTGTGTGTTTGTGGATGCATGTGTCTATTGAAGAAGTAGATTTATTAACTGAATTTAGTAAATGTCTGACATGGCACAACTTCTTTTTTAAATTAACCTTGTTGTGTCAAATGTTCGTTTATATTTGGCCTTACGTGTCTTGACTTAGTATGCAGGAAATGTGTGATTTTGGTAGGTGTTTGTTCTAAGTGTTGGTCACGCTAACATCGAAAGCTGAGTAATTTGAATTAAAAAATCAAATGGTTTTTGTCATACACATGTTGTCGTAGCTTGCCAAACTGACTCACCCTGCAGCTGTACAATCACTAGCTGTAATACAGAAGAGAGTTAATAATAGTGTTTGGGATGGAGAAAAGGTGGAAACTCCTTTTTGCAGACAGCTAACAGACAGTGTTCAGTGTAGTACAGAACCTGTGCTACAGGTCACAGGTGCAAAGACAAGGGATCTGTGAAGAAGTCATTAGTCTTGGACCTAGTCCTGAAAGGGCCTGATTGTTGCAGTATGAGTTGCAATATGATTTTGGAGACCTCTAGAGATTTTTAGTTCATGTCTAACAGAAAAGTGACCTGGGTCTGTTTATTTAATTTGAGTATATCCACTTGTGTTAGAGAATGGGTAGTTAACAAAGTGAAGGGCAGTTGTTTGTAGCATCACAGGTTGAGAGACTGCAGGCCAAAATAGAGGTACACTGGCAGAGGTCAGCTGTTTTGAATGACTGGTCTGAACCATACCAGTACAGCGCTTGGGAAGTACACAGGTCAAAGATGTGAAGTTTGCACAGGCAATGTGGCCTGCCTTCTCTGCTCAGCACATGTCAGAGATCATACATAGTTGAGCAGTAGGGTATTGTGAGGGTTGATAGAGTTGTACTCTGTTGATTTGCTGCAGAATGTTAGTCCAGGTAGAATAAGACCTTACATGCAAAGGGGAATCTGGTTGTATGATATTTTTGCATCTGGAAAAGTCTCCAGTTAAGTTACCTCACTGAGGGGTTGTTTGTTTATTCTTTACATCAGATTTCCAAAGACAGTGTAAAAGTCCTTCCTTCCATAATTTCAAAGATGGAAGCCTGCCTTGTGGGCATGGAGGCTATGTTGCTGTATTTGCTGCCGTAACATATGTAATCTCCTGCCATAAAACTTTAAAAAAAATGAAGCTGTTTATTATTTGTTAATAAGTGCTATTGAATTTGGTACAATAATGAGGATGAAAGGATTTCTCTTGCAAAGCTACTCTGTAGCTGCAGAATTGAACATGTGAACTTCTGCTTCAGTTGATGAACTGGGTTTCAGTGACTTGTGAAGTCTGGCAAAAGGCTGATGATGACGGCAGCTGGGCAGAGTACAGACCAGTTGGGGCACTTCCTGGAGAGAAAGAAGGATCAATATCTGAAAAGCAGTGAAAAGCTGCTCAGGAGCAGGCTCACTGAGCAGTGCAATTTAAAGGTTATTTGTCTTGAGTACATTAGGAGTTAATATCTCTACTGCACCGTACAATGAAAATCTGAGTGGAGTTATTTAACTGGTGTTGGTTCCCTGGGGATTTATTTAGGTGAAAGTCTGCATGACACACACCTGCTTTCTCAAGGCTGATGAGGTGCTGTCATGTTTTCACCGGATCCAATTAAAACAATCTGGTTGTAGTTTCCCAATTAGGGGAGGTTAAAAAAAAGGGGGGATATGAAGTGCAAGAACAGCAACACCCAAGCCAATTTTTTCTCCCTGCTTGTAACTGAGTTAATATGGATAAGACACGGAACACACAGCTTCAAGGGCGAGATCTAGTCATAGCAGCATTGTATGTGTCACTGAAGCGGGGAGCATTGGAAAGAAATCCAAAATAATCACTTGATTTGGAACATAAATTCTCACTCAGCATGTACTTGATTTATCATCCAGTTCACGAGTTGATTTCTGTTCCTACCATAGTTTGTGTTCTGAGTGAAAAGTAATAAAAGGCAAGTTGTTTTGATTTTGTAATTATCATCGAGCTGAAATGCATCTCTAATCCAGAGCCTGGTATTTGAAAAGAGTTTCTTAAACGACACTTAGGACTGCTGGCTTGACTACTTGGGTGAAGTCATGTTTATGGCAAAGCATGGTCATGGTGTTTGAACACTGAACAGCTGTGCTACAGGTCAGAGCAGGGAGTGGAGTATCCCGTGGGACATCTGATGGGGGTTAGAACAGTCAGAACATCATAGTGTTTGGGGTGTCATGTTCTGGGGGAGAAATGATAGATCTTGGGTGATAATTCGGTACAACGATAATCTGTTGTATAACTGCTGTGGAAAACTGCTTCTCCAAACGCTATACTAAGGATTTAATTAGTGATATCTGAAAACAAGAATATCAGCTAATGGGTTGTTGGGGCCTCTTCCAGTCTCACCTTGACTTTTTGTTCCGATTACTTGATGAGACGTGCCTGCTCTGACCTGACCTGTGATGGTATGCAAGCTTGCAATAACAAGGCTTTGGGCTGTAATCATAGCAGCTACAATACATACAGCTCCTCAAGATCCTTTCTATAGTGCCTGGTTTAACAGCGTATTTGTGTTCTGCTTCTTTCCACAGAGAAGGAAAGAAACTGGAATTGGAGGAATATTATTCTCCAAACTACTTTGTGTGGTACCTTAAACAGACTCAGTATCCCTGGAGCAACTCAGAGTATAGCATGCCTTGCTGTTGGGTGACAAAGGACTGAAAGTTTGATCAGCTGTTGGAGAAGTCTCACTAAAGAAGCTGAATCTGAGCTTCTTTTGGAAATAGAATGATGTGTTCATGGTGCCACGTGGTCACTAGAGATGAAATAGCAACTGAAAAGCTGATGTCCTCTACTAGCATATTTCAGAGAAGCCTGGTTGGATATAGGAGATAGTGACAAGCCGTTTTCTTCTGGCATTGTGAATGGTGCATTGCTTTCTTGTACATATTCTCCTTTGTTTCTTATAGCTCTTCAGTGTGCAGAGGGTTGTCACATCTAGGAAAAAGCCACAGACAATCAGGGTCATCCTGTTGGGAGGTTGAATTACATCTTAATTTATCAGTCTTTGATTCCCATGCTCTCCAGCACACAGTGTCCCAAGCACCCTCTACTGTTGGAAGTTAGTTTCAGAACATAGAGAGTTCTTGTTGCCATGTTTTCTGTTTATAGCATTTTTGGTGTAGTATCAACATGAAATAAATTTCATTAGTTTGTATGAACACTTTGAAAATGCAGTTGCAACTAACTCCATTTTATTTTTCCAACCTGAGAAGTCCAGAGTCACTGTAAGCTGCCAAAATACTATGTTATTGTACCTGGACTTGTATCTGAAATACAGCATGTCTCCAACACTTCCAGAGCTGTGCTGTTTTAGTGCAGGAGTTGAGGAACATGTTAATTAGTATAAATAATGAAGAATGTATTTCTTTAAAATTTACTTAGGAGATATAAGCTTGCAAAAATACAAAATTATCATGATGATTTCAATAGATTAAATCTTCCTGTATTAATGCAGAAACAGTCCATTCCTCAGTGATCGGATTCAATGGTAAGCATTTTGTTGATGACTAGATCCAGTCTAGCAGTAAGCCCCGTTGATGAAAACTAAAGTGAACCGAAAAACTGCATGAAAAATGCTACTGACAAAAGCTGAGGGAAAAACTTGTCTCGGAACATGCACCTTCTAGATGGTCTGGTAACGATGGTCAGTAAATCGCGCTCCGGAGTTGAACGGTACATGTACTCTGTTTAAACGTGCTTTCTTGTATTTTTCAGAGCTCTGCTGGCTGGTGGAGGCTTTTCCACGTGGACTTACCGGCAAGGCTACGATGTCAGTATTCCTGTTTACAGCCCGTTATCAGGGGAAATGGATCTGCCAGAAAGAGGACCGGGGTAAAGCAATTCCCATAGATTAGGCAAAGTATATTCGTATCATGTTCAATATTGATGCTGATAAAATATAAATGTAACTACTAACTTGTTGGAGGGCTTAGGCAATTTTGTAAGAGTTGCTTTTAATAGACTGTATGGTGGATCCAGTCCTGATGGTTTTGGCTCATCTGCCAACATGTGGTTTAGTTATGAACTGAGGATTTTTTGGGAGTGATTTTGTTTTTCCCATTCCAAAATTGAACTGCGAAGTATGACAGCATGACAGTGCTTCTGGTAGAATTAGATTCAGTATTGCCAGTGAGCTGACAAGATATTTTGAATATAAATAAAAGTAGTTGTTAATGTTTGTGTTCTTTAAAGTGGAATTAAAGCAGAGCAGTAATTTAAAGCAATATGGATTCCCTCATAAATGATGACTTCAGGCAATTTATTTTAGGATATTTAAAAAAATCATTTAAAAAAATGATTAGAAGTGTGCTATACCTCCATTGTGACTTTAAAGAGATAGAAGGGATCATGAGGACCAACATGAGTGCCTCAGGTAGTGTCAGCCAGTGCAAACTTGGAATCAGTAACAGGAGGACCAAGGATGTGATCTTTATTTCTGTATAACTTACGGATACATTCTTCGTAAATCAGTTTAGATGTTTTTGTGGTTCTGAAGTCCTTTCAAAATGACATGGAGTGTTTGGGATGGGAGGAGCCTGTAAATGCAGCTCTGAAGGGAAGAAGTTCTTGCAGAATGAATCTGAAGGAGGTTAGTGTGGTTAGCTCGTGACAAAGAAGAATGAGGGCTCATCTGATTATGGGAATAGTTACACCCAGAGAGTGGAATACTGATTTTGGGTTTTTTCTCTCTTTTTAAAGTAATGGAGTAAAACATGAACACATACAACTTCCCTGACCATGTATTTGGATGTAAAGCAAGAGAAGTGGGAAATAAACCACTGATTTTAGCAGGGAATGTAATTAGCCATAATAATGAGCTACCCTGGAAAGTGGTGGTTTCTCTAATTCGTGTCTTCAGAACAAGAGTAGGTTGAAGACTGGAAAACACATTTTAATTTATTGCAGAAGACTGTTCTTCTAATGTTTCTTAAGTGTCGTAATTACACAGCTGAAAGTGTTTCATTGTAGCAAGGTCTTATGTCTGTTACGGTTTAAAAGATGGGCAGACTGAGACAGTGGGGGTGAATGATGTGTCCACTGATTGTGAAGGTCAAATTGAGAAATGCAGAAACTTTTAAGTTCCTTTTTCTGACAACATCCCGTAGAAAATATGTATTATTAAAGTTGAAAGCTGTGACTGAAAGGGCTGCCACTATCGGACACAAAAGGTTATTGTACTTTGGCTTCAGTTGTCTTTTCCTCTGGTAAGGGCAATGCTTCTGCTGTTGCTCTGGGCTGCCCCAGGGAAGATAGCGCAGTCAGTTTGCAGGACAAACTTGTGCAGCAGTGGTTTGCTTTGGTTACACCCTGTATGTTCCTGCTTGTGATGCTCCTGGACCAGATCTGTGTAGGGACATCTGGGTGCATCCCAATTGATTCTTCATAGATCTCAAGTGTTGTTACAGTCCGACAGAGAGTGAAAGCGTGCTTTGTGTTTCTGTCTGGAAAGCCGGAACGCGATGATAGGCTTCAGCACGTACAGAGCCACTTGTAGAGAGAGATGTGCTCAGGTTGTTTATGTCCGTGTAGTCAGTGAACTGCTGTGTCTGGGTTTGGGTCGGATGAGAGAAACTCCCACGTGGGAGCTGATGCAGTGCAGGAGTCCGAGTTCAGTGAGGGTGTTGGAGTGGCCCTGCTCTCAAGGAGCAAGCCGCGGTCTCCAGGGCACCATCTCCTGGCCAGTGAGCGTTCCTGGTTGACACCTGTTCACTGGTGCCCTTGCTTTATGCAGGAGGAGTGTGACAAGGGAACGATGCTCAGCATTCAGGCTTGCTTGGGATAAATTATTACATCCCACTACACTAACGTGTTATTTCCTGGGAGCTGGGACATATTTTCTGTTGTAGCAAGATTTGATAGCTGGATTTTGAATGTCATAGGATGACGACAGTTTTAAGGCAAAATTTGGTTTTAAACATATGCACAAACCTGCATAATTTTTAGCTGGTCATAGGCATTTATTATGGCTCATCTGAAGCCATATTTCCTTTTTGTAAGGCAAATCCTTCTCTATTCCGCTCCTTTTATATGGAGCGGAACTGAAGGGTTTTGATTTTCTCTCCTTTTTAGTTGAATTGTTTAAAATATTTTAAATCCACCTCTTCTAGAAGTATATATTCTGTAGAGCTACTGGTAGCAAGTTGGTAGCAGCTGGAGGCTTGGGAAAAAAATGTTTAAAAAAAATTCTGTTCAACTCTCATCTGTTAATTGGAGCAGCTAAAGTGACCAGCATGAAAATGAGTAGAAGAGGTGAGGGGAGCAGCAGGAGAGGTCTGACTTTATAAAGTGTGTGTTTGTGTGTGTTTTCAGAGCTGTAAATTAAAGATAGCATCACGTGGAGTAGAACTGGAATCCGAAGCGCAGGCCTTGTTTCCTGTGTTCTTTTGGCAGCGTGAGGGCAGGCACTTGCTGTGTGTTCCTTTTATTGGGGAGCCGTGGAGCAGTCTGACTTAGCTGACCCATTTAAGAAGGAAACCAAAGTAGATGAGAATTGAGTAAAACAATTATACAACGTACTATTTTCCAACATTAACATAACTTTTTAAAGCAGTGAGCCCCTCATTTGAGGCTGTATTCCTGTGTGGTTCACATCCAGTGTTAATTAGTGTCTCAAAACACTTCAGTATCAAGGTGTGTTTTAAATATTCATGTTTCTGGAACGTGGTAAGAGTTGAGAGTAAATGGGATAATGGGTCTTCAACTTTGTCCTGAAAATATTGCCTTTACGTTGCTCAAAAAGGACAGAACTGTATCCCAACTAATGAGATGAGGTTGTCTTATTGCTGCTGTCACCGTGTCAAGACTAAATAAGCACAGGGTGGCAGAGTTGTTAGTTCAGCATCTTTTTTCAGTCAAAAATGGTGAGAAAATATATGGGAGGAGAAACTAGCAGCAGCGTTCAGTGTCCTATCTACTTTGTTGTAGTACACAAACACCAAATAAAAGGACAAACAATCCTGGCATCAGTAGAAAGCTGTTTTAATATGTAGCTAAATAATGTGTATTTCAGTTTATAATAGAGGTTATAATGCAAGTGCCTATTCTGATGTAATAAACACTCCTTCCAAGTACAGATTTATTCAACGTTGTAAATAATGCTGAGCCACTTGCTATCCAAGATTTAATTATATTGCATCATTACCCTTTCCAGCTTTGTCTGAAAATACGGTCTTGGCATCGTGTCCACATTTAGTTAATCTCACTCTGCTTTTTCAGGATGGGAGGAAATGTGTTCTAGAGCATCTTGGAAGTAAACTCACAGTGCTGTGGGGTAACCTTGATGTGTTTTTGCAGTCCTCGCAGGTATTTCATTCTGTCATCGCAAATGGCTCTGCACCCAGAATACCGGTCTGAGTTGGAAGCTCTTCAGGCTGAAAACGGGGAATCAGTGTTGATCCTAGACAAATGTACGAATCTGTCAGATGGGGTCCCTGCTGTTCGCAAACGCTGTCACAAGAATCAAGTCTTTGATTATCCTCAAGTGCTTCAGGTAAGGCTGTCTCTCCTGCAAACTTCTCCTTGGTGACTGTCTTAGCTGTGGAACTGCTCCTGTTTAGCACTGGTAGGGCAATTCCTTCTATTTAGTTCACTTGCTGGCTATGTTTTGAAACTGCATAATTTGTTACATCAGCTTGGATATCCTAACTTTTATTCTTATTTTTAAGAGGGCCAAGAACTATATACTCAAACTGATATGCAGACTATGCTGCAATTTGAAAGTGCAACTGCCGTGTAACAGCTTCATGAGATTGGTCTTGGTGGTCTTCTGGTAACACGTGACCATGTCATGAAAAATTACAAAATTATACAAAGATACTGCCAGATCCAGCACCAATTGGAGGAGAAACTTTTGAAGGCAAGACAAAATTGTTTACTATAAAACTGAGGAAGAACATTGGAATCTGCACGCTCCAGAATAATGGCAAAATTACCTTCAGCGGGCATGAATTTGGAATTGATTTCTCACATATGACAGCCCAGGCCTTGCTAGATGAAGCTTGGAACAGAGGATGGCTTTGTCAGTTGGAGGAAAGATTAAAAGGAACTTTAAGAAGCTGATGCATGGATTAATTTGAGGGGGGAAAAAAAAAAAAAAGAGTACTACATTATAGGAGAATTGGTCAGATTATACTTTTTGTATGCAGCTTAGTAGTTAAACCCTACAAAATTATCTCTATAGATATGACAGGCTGAGCTAGAAGGCTTGTCAGCGTGCAGCTATGAAAACATCTAGGTGAAATGTGTTTCATGGCCTTGGCCCAACTTCCAGAGGCCTTTTGATGTGTCAGTGAAGATAAAACTAGATAGCTTTCTCAGACCCCTGTGTCTCTCGGCAATTCACTAACAGAGAGGTGCTTTGGCATGCAGTGTGGTGAAGTGAGTTATGCCATAAGCCACTGTGCTCTGTCTGTGGCCACCAGCACATAATCTGTCTTTGAACTTCAGCAAATGATGGTAAAATAACAAACAAGTTGAAGAAAGGCGAAGTTTCCACCCCTCCTGCTATGTTTTGTAGGAAATATGTCTAAAATTCCTTGTGGAGGAGGGGGAGAGGGAGGAAAGGGTCACCCTGGGTCCTAAACTTTCAGCCAAAAGGAGAACAAAAAGAAAATTGTTTGCTTTATTTCTTTAAATACAGACTGGATTGCTCAAGGATAGCAAATCAGGGAATCTATATCTATATCTTGCTATATTTGATTTTAGAACTCAGAAGAGAGCTGGCACATGCTGAGATTGTTAAAATACTTTCCTTTGCAGAGCCCTGCATCTCCCTTTGGAATGTCTGGCTGATAACAGTGGTGATGCGAGGAGATGTATTTATAGTAACCTTTGTCTAGACAGGAAAAATGGTTATCTGGGCAGATGAGCATGTGTGTCCACATCTGGGCTTCTTTTCTTTTCTCTCCCAGGCCTTAATAGAGTATTTTCCACCTGCTTCTGTGTGATCTAGTGAGTCAGTGGTTAAAATGTGTGTTCATTCTCTCTGCTCCTTCCATTCCTTGCATCCTTCTTTTCCTTCTCTTCCTGTCTGAGAGTGGGGGAAGGGTAACTGTGATCACAGTTCATCCTCTCCAGCGCTGCCCTCAGAGACTTCCTACTAGACAGGCTCTAGGGCTTCTGGGTTGTTAGTGCTTCCTGTTTGCAGTCATCTTCTGGATGAGATTTTCAAGGCTTTTGGTACTAGATGGGTATGAACACAGGTCTTAGGATTGCATTAGGAAACACGTGAGGAGCCAGCAAACCCCCTTGTGTTTCCTAGTTCCATTTTGATGTTTTGCTGCCCTGCTGAGCCTCCTGGCTCCTTTTCCTCAGGCCACAGAACGCAAGCTGGAAATATGTTTTCTTATCTGTGGGAGTCCCTGTAGCAACTTTATAATTTTTCTTTCTTGGACTTAGGGATAATACTGACTTGGGTTTTTTGCTTGTTTGTGTAGCTGAACTCTACAAGCACTTATTTTGCGCTCTTGAGTCTGTAGCAAGATTCCTCAGTGGCAGTGAGAACCAAAGTCCCTATCTACCGAGTGAGTGCAGCATAGTCAAGAAGTCGTCTCTGCTGCAGTTTAAACTCATGGCTCTTTGTCTTGTGTGTTGTGGACTTGAGTAAGTGGATTATATTCCTCCTTTTTGCAACAACTGCCTTTGAAGCTCCCTTTAGCTATCTTCCTCCTGCCCTTACCCCTTCAGAATAAGTAGTTTAGATATAGTCAGTCTTTCCTTGTAGATCATACTTTCAAGGTAAGTACTCATCCTCTTTTTTACCCCTGGAAGTGCGTTGCCCAAGACTGAGCATACTGCTCCGTCTGAGGTCTTTTATTACTGAGAAGAGTGAGTGATTCCTTCGGGTCTCTTAGACTGTACTTCTTTTTGTGTTCTAATACAACCTGTGGGTGAAGTGGTTTGTTTTTTCAACAGCACAACGTTGCTGACACATGAATACACTTTCTTTTCTTGTCCTTTTGTAGGAAATGTCCTCTTCTGCAAACTGCAAAACATAGCCAGTTACTTCATGTAATTGTGTAGTTGGTTATTGTTATCTAAGTGTTGAACCCTATATGTGTTGGTATATTTTAGTCAATTTGTCCATATAATGTCAAACTCTAATCCCGTTATCCATTATGCTTGCTAATCCTACAAAATCATAGGTATTGTCAGATCTAATAACTGTGGTCTTCATTCTGCTACTCGGTTAACTAAGGAACACTGGAATATGGTTGCACCTATGAAGATTATTTGGTCCTTCACTGTTTTACCTGTGAGCCACTGCTAACTGCTTTACACTTAAGAGTTCTGTAACTATAATTTATGTAACTAAAGCCTATGAGGGCTTTATGTAGCACATGATTTCTTAATTTGCCTGTGAAAATGCTCTGAAAGATGTCAAATGCCTTTTAAAGTTGAGATACAAAATCTATTATTTCTCTGCTATCCATAGGGCTGGATTGTCCTATAATGAAAGAAAATCAGGTTGGCTTCATACAGTTTGTACTCAATAAGTTCATGTTGATTGTTGTTCATCTTGTTATGCCAACTTTCAAAATGTTTAATTTACGTTTCCCCTTGAGTTTTCTCAATTAGAATTCTGAAGTTTGGCCATTAAAATAAAGCATAGAACAGTCCCATTAACTGATTTCTTGCCTCTCCACTTACAATATTTTGGAGCCTCTGGAAGATGAAGTTGCATAATTATTTTGAATTAGCTAATAATTGAGAATATGTTGGTTGCATGGAACAAGTCTGTTTTCCTTTTGACTTGTTTTTTTACAAGGGGGAGAGCAGTAAAGCGTGATGCATATATACATACACACATAATAAAAATCTAACATTTCCCTTCTTTTTTCCTCATTTTTGTGTTGGATGCTGTTGTTTGACAGGAGTCTACGTTCTGTGTTGTTCTACGTGGAGCCCGCCTGGGACAGGCTGTGCTGAGCGATGTTCTTCAAGCTGGCTGTGTCCCAGTCATCGTTGCTGACTCCTACATTTTACCTTTCTCTGAGGTTCTGGACTGGAAGAGGTCTGTACCCTCGTTATTGTACACTGAACCACTGCATAAGAAACTTCTTGCAGTCAGTGATTTGAATAAAATCCATGTGATAAATGTACTAGGGGTTACAGAGGATAGAATATAGGGTAAGGTACCTGCAGTCTTTTGCATATATTATGCATAAAAAATAGGAGAGGAAAACAAATGAGGCAGAGATGACAGAGCGTTTGGTTACCCTGTAGCTGCTGCTGCTATTTCTGCAACAGACTTGCTTTATTATCTTGTGTTTGAAATCAGTGAGGACTGGTCTGCTAAAAATAGCTTCACTAGATGCTAAATTGTCCATATTGTGATTCAGATCTTCACCTGAGACTGAAAGGTATAATTATTTAGTAGCTGAATACACTGTGTTAAGAGTTTAGATTATTTTCCCATGCAGGCATCGTGCCCGGTTACGTGATCTTAGGATAATAAGTACAAAAATCACTAGTTTGTGTAGATAACACTGTATATGCTATTACTGTTTGGTCATTCCAAAAAAACTCAATCAACAGCAAGTCAGTGACAATCCAGAGGTGGGAATTCAGGATTTCTGGGTCTCTGTCCCTTCTGTATTTATTAGATTGTCAGTACAGATCTGTCCACAGAGTTTTGTGGCATTATCTATGGGCAGACTGGCTGGTTCTGTGAAGGAACCGTTACTGAGTAATTAAGTACACTGAGAGAAGACTGCTTCTTTCTGCTAGTATCTTCTGAGTGTGTCTTATTAGAATAGGACAAGATTCTGGGTTGGAAGCGCTGTTGACATCTTTTAGTCTAGAACTTCTTTCATCTTGTCTTACCACATGTTTTCTGGGTTTTTTTTTGCTTATAGGGCCTCTGTTGTCATCCCTGAAGAAAAGATGCCTGAAATGTACAGCATTCTGCAAAGTGTCCCCCAAAGGCAGATTGAAGAGATGCAAAGACAGGTAAAATAATGCGCTGTGTTTAAATTATTTTCCTTTATTTACAGATGGAGTGTAGGTTCGCACCTCCCTTACTGTGAAATCTGTTGGTATGTACTCTGATGTTAATACTTTGATTATTTGACTCTCTTCTTTCTTTATGCTAAACATATTCACCGTTGCTTTTCAGTATTGCGTCTCTACCCATCACTAGTGCAGCTGAATGTGCTGAACAGCAGCTGCTGATCAGTACTCTCTTACCCATCAGGTCAGGAAGTTAAGAATATTGTGTTGTGATTGCAGCTGCAGAAGGCAGATTTCAGTTACTCAGCATGCATTTTCTTCAACCTACTATGTTAATGTACAGGCTGCTGGGAAATATATGATAGGATCTTTAGCATCCACAGGGACCTCCAGGATGCCTCCCCATCCTGTTTTGCAGCGGGTCACCTGAAATGAGTCATTGAGATTTTGACTGTCTGCTTTTTTATGTAAAGATCATGTGGCATTTGCCATGGGTGGAGACTGCCAGTTTCTACCAATGTAGTCAATCTCCACTTCCATTAATTTCACTTTTTCTTGTGTCCCCTCTACTTTCTTAATGCATCCTGGGGCGGAAGCTCTCCCTGATTGCAGGTCAACTGTCTGCTCTCATACATTAACATACTTCTGATGGAATCACAGTTTCTTTTTTTTCTACATGGTATTTTATTAAAGAAGTTGTTTAAGAGTCTTGTCTTTATCTCAATAGAAGCTTTGGCTTGTAGATAAATTTTAATTGCTCAAAATGTGAGGAAAACACCAAGTCCAAAATATTTTTAATATTTTAACTCCATTGACAATTCCTCTGAGAGGGAAATTTTTCTTACTTGGTAACTGGAAGACCTGAGATCACAAACTGTCCAAAATCGTGAATGAAATCTGTGTAAGCTGGCTGTATAGTTAAAAGGAAATGTCTTCTAGTTTACTCCAGTTGATGCTGATTCCTGTTTATCAGCTTTGCTGCTATGGACACCGTCATCATCAGTTGCTTTAATTCTAGAGCTCACACACAGAGTGCAAGCTCAGCAGATGAGGACTGTTAGTCGTGTGAGGATTTTCAGAGTGTGAAGAGTTTTGTTGTCAGAATAGGGGGTAGGATTCAACCATGTTGTTCTTTTGGTGGTTGGAGTATGTAAATTCAATTTTTGGGCTGGCAGAGAAGTAAGATGTTAACATATGTTGTAAACTTTTACGTGGGTTCTTTCATCTTTGTCACCTTATTGTACGTGAGCATATAATGGTGTAAGGTAGGGAGATACTGTTATCATTGTTTCTCCTGATAAGGAACTGAGGCATAGTCAAAATAAGAGCTAGGTATGTAAGGAAAACGTAAATTACCTGATCTCAGGTGACATGCATGGTATTTCTGCAGTCAAATTTCTGCAAGAATTATGAAGATATATCCTGTAATTCCCTTACCCCACCTTAGTGACAATGTCATCTTTGGTGTGGTCCTTGTAAAAAGTGACCCAAGGCATTTTTTTTCAGGGTATGGCCTACAATGTTCCAGTTAGTTCTGCACAGAGAGTGCTAAAAGCTGCACGGTGTCTATTAATAGTGGATATGTGTGGAGAAAATAAACTTAGTGGTAAATAGCTTTTCACATCTGAATTCTGTTGCCAACTTCACTTCATTCCCTGTACAGAGTCTGCACATACCACAGCAGCCATCAGGGGTCTCCTTTCTCTTCAGTCTCCTCACACCGGTGAACCGTTTTGGTGGGGCCCACTGGCAGCACCAAGTTGCCACCAGGGAAGGCAGGTGAAAAAGTAACTTTGCTATTACAGCCCCTAGAAACGTGATTTCGCTTTATTTTCTTTCTTTCTCTGGCATGAACATAGAGTTGTTAACACTAGAGAGTTTTGTCTAATAAAGCCTTAAAACTGACGTTAATAATCTGTTAACATGTGCATGGACTTTCATGTTGTCCATTTTGCTAATATCGTAAAATAATCATTTCAGGCTAGTGTTCTCCTGCAGAGAATGCACTTGACATTATGGACAGCTTCAACAGTAATTTTAAAGTATGAAATCAGGAAACAACACTAGTTTGTAAACAGACAAAACAAACAAAACCCCTGAACATTCACAGTGAAACAAACCAACAAAACCTGCCTTAATTCAGATGATCTGTAACTTATCTGTATTATCTGTAACTCTGTAAAATTAAGTTAAAATAGAAGATATTTTAGTACCCAAAATGCGGTTCTAGTCTGTGTCTGGAGTGAATGTTGTTGGATTATAGATGGTTTTCAGTAGCCATTGCCATTAGTTCCAAAGCATCACTGAACATAATGGAAGCTGCAGTCCTATTGACAGAAGGTGGGAAGTATGTTGTTTTTTTTTCTTTTAAAGCTTCCTCTTCCATCTTGATGCTTTTATTGAGGATATAGTTATGTGTTTTGGTAGTAAGAGTATCAGGACAAAATGACAAAGTCTGTCTTTCTGTTGTGAATTTATTTCTGTCCACATATTGAGGATACTTAAACACGTTATCCATATGTTTCATGTCTTGTCAGCCTTATTTACAAGGAGAAGTCCCAGTGTAAGAATTTGTGAAATTCCCTTGCTGATACATGGTTCTATGTTCCAGCTGTCTGATACTGTGAAAAAGGGATACTGTGTGGACTACCAGCATCCTGATTGCTTTTCCTCATTGACAGATATGCACTAATACTCCACCCGTGCCACACATTTTTGTTTCCTTCCTCCTCATCAGTGTCACAGTAGGGAACAGTTGCACACATTATTTGCTGTCTTTTGATTTAAATGTGTAGG